CCATCACAATGTGCCAGTTTGAACAAAAATCTGTTGACAGTATCCTAAAAAAAATATATTTTAGATTTTCACTGAAGGAACAAAACTTTTCTGGAGTTTATGTAGGAGCAGATACAGAGACTGATCTTAGAAATAGAGATTTAATGGATTTCCTGAAGGTGTTCCTATGAAAATCCACCAGGTACAAATGCACTTGAACCCACCCCAGTCCTGTGGGTCATGTCCAGTGCTGGGCACTCCAGTTTGGCAAAAAACAGTGGTTCCCAGTCCCTGGAATGTTATTTGCCCCCAGACCCAGGGCAAAGCCAGGGAGAGACCAGGTGGAGCTTTACCCCAGTGCCCTGTGCGGGACTGGTCCCACCTTGAAGCCACCAACCACCCAGTAAAGGAGTTGTTTGGCTTTGCAGTCACGTCCCCATCAGTGTTCTCAAAAAATGAGACAAAAAATAATTGAAAAAAAGAAACTAATTTAAAAAAAAACCAATCAAAGCCGTTTTCTGGCAGTTTCCTCCAGCATTCTCACACATGAAAAAAAATATGCCTTCACCCATCAGCATGGCCATTTCAAGTGGGATTGCTCCAGCCAAGATTAGGGGGATGCTGGAAGATGTTTGCTCCCAGGAAGCCTCTCCATGGGAAAACTTTGCAAAGCTGAGCCTTTAAACCCAGCTCAGGGCAGAGGGTGGGCCAAGCTGCAGTCAGCTGCTCTTCCCAAAGACATTAATCTTCTCATTACAGCCTGATTTAAGCACTGCAGCTTTTATTTTCTTTGGTCCCCAGAGGTCAATAGAAGGAATGTCCTGATTGTTGGGCAATTTATTTGACTCCATGTAATAACATTTAAATGGGCCGTGAAGCCAAAACAAGATGCTCCATGCTAAAGTCTATCCAGAGGCTGAGTTTGTCCCTCTTTTTTTATCCCTGGTGATAAAATGTAGCTCTCCAGGCCCTCCAAGCTATCTGCTCTAATACATTACCTGCCAGACCGGAGATAAGAGCAGCTCCATCTCTGAAATTCTGTGTGGGTTGTTCGTTATCATTTCCGTGAGGGATCTTTGGGAGGGGTGATAAAGGGGAAAGTTGGATTTTTGCTTCCCTTTAGTGAAAAAGGATGATTTTAAAAGTGTGCTAGAGATGATTACGTGCCATAAGCAGTTAAACAGGCTTAAAACTTGACTTGCTCTTGATACAGATAAAAGGTCTACCCTACTGCACATCTGGGTGGAATTTCAGCCCTCTGGAATTCAGATGCCTGGATTCCGAGGCCAGGCCTGCCAGAAATTCACCCCATGCACCTGAGAATTATAAAATAGAACCCCAGAATGGTTTGGGTTGGAAAGAACATTAAAGATGATTTAGTTTCACCCCCTGCCATGGGCAGGGACACCTTCCCCTATCCCAGGTTGCTCCAAGCCCTGTCCAACCTGGCCTGGAACACTCCTAGAGATGGGTCAGCCACAGCTTCTCTGGGCAACCTGTGCCAGGGCCTCCCCACCCTCACAGGAAGGAATTTCTTCCATATATCCAACCTGAATTTCCCCTCTTTCAGTTTGAGAAGGCCACTGAGGCTCAGATTTGGGGGGGGGAAACTCACCGTTGAGCCCTGTCTCTGGTAGCAACTGGATGTGAATAATCTGGGAAGAGAACTGACCCACCTGAAAAGCCACTGTCACGCTGATCTGCACAGCAGGGCTGCTATGAGTCATTAAAATTGACTTGGGGAATTAATTATCCCAATGATTTAATGGAGAGAATGAAGCCTGTGATGGAAGCGCTCCCCGGGCTGCGGGATGTGCACGGATGAGTTGCCTGGCACTGCTCAGCTACTCCTGCAGGCACCTTCCTGGGAGGGTTTGGGAGCAGAAGGGCACTGAAGAGCACAGAGAGGAAGGAATGATCTGGACAGACCCCAGGGAAACGTGCCTCCATCTGTTCCATGTGTTAAGACTGGAGAATAATTGAGGTGGGAGGGGGGTTTTGGAGGTCTCCGGTTCAACTTTTGCATGAAAGAAGTCATCTTTTAACTCAGTTTATTGCCCTTGGTCATGCCCAGCAGAGTTTTGAGTATGTCCATGGATGGAGTATCCACAGCCTCTCTGATTCCCTTATCTAATGTTTGATCACTCTCACAGTGAAAAACTTTTCCTTGCATTTCCAGGTGGTATTTTGCACTAACAGCAGGGAGGTTTAGGTTGGATATGAGGAAGAAATTCTTCCCTGTGAGGGTGGTGAGGCCCTGGCACAGGTTGCCCAGAGAAGCTGTGGCTGCCCCTGGATCCCTGGAAGTGTCCAAGGCCAGGTTGGATGGGGCTTGGAGCAACCTGGGCTAGTGGAAGGTGTCCCTGCCCATGGCAGGGGGTGGACTGGATGGTATTTAAATTCCTTTCCAAGCCAAACCATTCTATGATTCTATGATTCTTCCATCTGGGAAGTGGTGGCCTTCGAAGAAATGTTCAGTCCATCTGATTTATTCTCTGGATCAGGATGTGAAACAAGAAGTAAAAAAACAGACAGGGAGGGGAAAAAAGGGGAAGCAAGGGAGATGTGAACACTGGCATGGAAAGCTATGATGTGTGGTGGCAAAATGTGTCTGCTCAGCTCCTATCTGGGCTTATTCCATTTGAATTTGAATGGAGAAGGATGTAATTCACTGTGATATCGTAGCTTTGGTGTCCAGCGTGGGTGGGAGAAGATGTGCAAGATAAGAAAACTCCCAGGATAACAGCAAATTTTGGAAGGAATTTAAGAATTAGAAGGGGAGGTGGAATTGCAAGCCCTAGAGACAGACTGTGGGAATGGGTGAGTATCCCAGGTGAGCCATGGCCATGTGGCATGGCCAGAAGCTCCTCCTGTGAGTTTTCCAGAGCTTTCCCCCCACGTGTCCTCGGCAGGATCAGACCACTCCTGCTCTGCTGCTCTCCCAGAGCATGTCTGCACCTTCTCCGTCCCTGACTCTGTTTCTATTAAAAAAAAAAAAAAAGGTAAAAAAGTTCTGTTTTGCTGATTTTGTTTTTTTTTTAACACAGCCTAACAAAACTGCAGATAATGACAAACAAGTGAGCAAGACTCTGGCACAAGAAAAACGAGATTTAATCTGTCAGCCCGTGGGCGGGTGGAGCGGGATAGCGCTGGCTGTATTTTCTTAAGGTGGCTCTTTCCATCCCTGGAGCTGCTTAAAATAAAGCAGATGGGAATCCAGAATTATCCTCAGCGCTGAAATGTGGTGCTGCATCCAGAACATGTTGCTTTTTGTGGAGTCTCTGCTCTGACACACTAAATCCACACCAGTCACTCAAGCACCGACTGCAAAGCGATGGCCCAGACGTTTAAGTGGCAATGCTGGAGCCAGGGAATCAGTTCCCTTGGGATGTCTGAGCATGATTTAAGGGTTGTAAAGGTTGAGAAGTATGAGGGAGGTCAGCTGGACTTGAAGGCAAAGAACAAGCCCTGGTTAGTTTGCTGAAAAATAGAACCTCAGTGCACAGACAGACCCAGAAAACACAGAAACACCTCACTGGACGTGGGTTGCACAAGGTGTGAGAGCTCCTAATCCATGTGGGCTCTAGCCAAGAGTTCATTTAAGGGACCTGGACCAAAATCCAGCAGGTGTTTAAGTCACCCCATGAGCCAGGAGGTGGCAGTGGCTCCTCTTCTCCAAGTCCTGTTGTACTTTTCTGCCTCCCTCTGATCCCTGTGTTGGGTAGGTAAAGGTTTAGCGTGGCTCACACCACAGATCTGTTGCGTTAAAGCAATGGCCAACAGGATGGAGGTTTCTCCTCTCTCCACAGCCAAAGGAAAAGCTGGGAGAGGTGAAGTGACTTGCCCAGTGCCACACAGAAAAGCCATGGGAGAAACAGGGATTTCCCAACTGCCTCCATGCCAGGACCCTGGAAGGGGCTGGCTCTGTCCATCAGTGGAGGGGCAGAGGTAGCTGTGATGTTTTCAACGTGCCCCAGCCCCGAGGCTGTTGAAGGTGATAACCTGGTGGACACTGGGATGGGCAAGGTGGGGTCCAAGAACATGTACATGGGGAAACTGAGGCACAGAGAGTGGATATGGACTTTGGAAAGCAGCAGTTGGCAGAGGGAGACGAGCCCCTTCTCATCCCACCCAGATTTCCTGCCTGTGTCCTTCCCCTCCTCATGAGGGGCAGCAGAGGGGCAGGCACTGATCTCTGTTCTCTGTGAGCAGGGACAGGACCCAGGGAGCAGCTGGAGCTGTGCCAGGGCAGGGTTAGGTTGGATCTCAGGGAAAGGTTCTTCCCCCAGAGGGTGGTTGGGCACTGCCCAGGCTCCCCAGGGCAGTGGGCACAGCCCCAAGGCTGCCAGAGCTCCAGGAGGGTTTGGATGATATTCTCTGGGACAGGGTGGAATTGTTGGAGTGTCTGGGCAGGGCCAGGAGTTGGACTGGATGGTCCTTGTGGGTCCCTTCCAACTCAGGAGATTCTACTGTTCTGTGACCCTTCAAAAAATCCCGGGGTACCTACAGATGGAAACAAGATCCCACTGCCAGACATGGAGCCCATCAAACTGCCTTGAGACCAGTTCAGTGGCTTCAAAGGGCAATGACCACGGGATGGCAGCAAAATCCATCACTGGGGAAGTCTCCAAACCCAGTTTTCCCAGTCCTTCTTGGCTGGGCACCACTGCTGGCACGAGGAGACAGCGGGGCTGGGGCTGGCAGTGCACAACCCAACCCGAGGCTGCAAAGGGACAGGGACAAGGGGAAGCAAAATGGTCTTTTGATATTTGCCTGGCTGGGTATATGAGCTCTTAGCTCCACTTTTTAGGGTTATTTTTGCTTTTCTTTTGGAAAAAAACCCAAAAACAAAAACCAAAAACCAAACAAAAAACACCTGTAAAACACACCAGGATACTTCCACTTCTTTTTGCCTGAATCCCCCAGGGTTGGATGTTTCCCATGGATGGGGAAAAAGGTGGATGGGAGAGGTGAAAAATAAAAATGTTTGCAAAACACAACCTTTTTTTTTTTTTTTTTTTTGCAAAGACAAATATATAGAAATAAATCGGGGTAAGAATCAGCTGCGCTGAGGCTGCAGCTTTCCAAGGCTGTCCCACTCCAAGTAGCAACCTCTGAGGATGGTGGGAGAGCAGAAGGAGATCACAGGGCAGGGAGAACAGGCTGTTCTGCTGAGGGATGCAGAGATCTCTGGCTAATGAATTGGCCCTGTTTCCAGAAGCACTGCCAGGATGAAATGGGGTCTCTCCTCCACTTATTCATGTGAGTTGGCTGGTTCAAACCTCTCCGTCTGTGTCATTTCTGTGATGAAAAAAAAAGTGGAATGGGAAGAAAAGGAAGGCATTGACATTTCTGTCTTGGGAGGAATTCTGGCTGAACCCCATTTAAACGAAGGTAAATCAGGGGTTTTTATCAGGGCTTTCTAAAAGTAACACCTCCCTGGCATCCTTTCTCTCTTTTTTTTTGGAGCAGATAAAAATTGCAGGAGGGAGAAAAATAAAACTAAAGGTGTGAAATTAATGTGTGGCTTTTTTTGTAAATTACGATGTTTTGGGAATGATTTTTTTTTTTTTAAATAGAGTAAACATTTCCTGATTGACTTTCCCCTCCCTCCTTTTTAATCTCCATAAACCTGCTGGCTCCACACAGCTGTAACCCTGAGGGCTTCAGTTCTGGGCTTTCCAGCAGAATGGAGACATGGGTGTCCTGAAAGGCAGCAGGCAGGAAAAGGAGGCAGATTTGTGGTCACTGCCTGCAATGAATAAATCCTACAGAGAGACAAGGAGCCTCTGCATGGTCCTCTCAGCAACCCCCACCCAGCAGCCCAGGAACTGCAGCAAGAGCAGAGCAAGCCCCAAGCTCCAAAGCAGAGGCTCTCCACACAAAGATACCTCCAGAATTTCACTCTGGAAACACTGATATAGAATCACAGAACCACAGAATGGTTTGGGCTGGAAGGGACATCAAAGACCATCTCATTCCACCCCCTGCCACGGACAGGGACACCTTCCACTAGCCCAGGTTGCTCCAACCTGACCTTGGACACTTCCAGGGACGGGGCAGCCACAGCTTCTCTGGGCAACCTGTGCCAGGGCCTCCCCACCCTCCCAGGCAAGACATCCTTCCTAATATCCAACCTAAACCTACTCTCTTTCAAATTAAAGACATTCTCCCTTGTCCTTTCCCTCCATCCCTTGTCCAAAGTCCCTCTCCAGCTCTCTTGGAGCCCCTTCAGGCCCTAGAAGGCCACAATTAGATCACCCCAAAGCCTTCTCTTTTCCAGGATGAACAATCCCAATTCTCTCAGCCTTTCCTCATAGGGGAAGTGCTTCATCCCTCCTTTCCCTCCAGCTCAGAACAGGAGCAAAACACCCTCCTCCTCCTTCCATCCACAGCAATTACTCAGCACCTCAGACCCACGTGCCAGAGAACACTGACTGGGGGGACACTCTCTCCACTCATCACCTTTTCCAGAAAATACAATGTCAGTGTCAATACAATCCTCTTTGCCAGCAGATTCAACTCCAAAGCCACCCCACCGAGAGAGGAGGACTTTGCTGTATCACTTGGAGGGGGTCACTGTGCATACAAATCAAATTCCTGCGTCTCCAATGTAAAGAGATCTCTTAGGACTGTAGGGTTAGGATTGAAGAGTCTAATAAGGGGAGAGAATTAAGCCTGCAATCACTTGGACTGATTTAAATTAGGGTTTTTTTCCTCTTGCTTTGATTAAAATAAGCCGATTTTCCTTTCCACCTGTGTTTCTTATGCAGGCAGAATTTCCATTAACTTCAGTCGAAGCTTTTTTTAACTTCTGGAAGCTAAAACTTCATGGCATCCCTTCATCCTGGTTGCCAGGGTTTTCCTTAGCACATTACCACTCTTGAGATATTAATTATAATATCTCCCTGCTTTATGTACCAGTCACCTCTGTTATTAAATGGACCTCCTGTGTGCCTTTCTTCTCTCTTATTAAAGAACACTGACCTTCATTATGCATTAGAGAATATAATGAATATTCATTATGGAATGGTGATGATATTGGGCTTACATTGTCTGCAGGAAGATTTAGGTCAGGCATAAAGGAAACCCTTATTGTGACAGGGACAGTGATGAACTGGAAGGGTTTGGGGCATGTGTCCCATCAGGGGTGGCTTTCAAGCACACAGCCAGATTTTAGGGATGCAGCAGGTAGAGGTGAGGCTGATTTGGGGCAAATAGGTGGGATCCTGGGCAGCCCTTGCATTTTTGCACACTTTCTATGGAAACAGGAGTATTGGAAACCTTCCAGTAAGTCCTCCCGGTGGCCATCCATTAAAAGGGACAGCACAGTGTTTAATAGCACAATTTTCAAGCTCTGGACTAATCATCCAGTGCTTAAATCAAAGAGAAGACAAAGTAACCTGGGCAGTCATCTCTGGCCATAGATTCATTCCCAGCCCTGTGTTAATGGCACTAAAGACAAGACCTGTCCCCACCACCATGTACCCTTTAATATCCATGAAATCCTCCAGCACCCACCCAGAGCTCAGCTCCTCCCTTTACACCCAGGTTAGAGTTGGGATAATGCCCAGCAATGGGATGGGAAGTCCCTGAGGAACATGGAGAAGGCTATGGGAGCCCTGGGGGCTCTGGCTGGAATGGCCAGTCTGCTTTCCTGACTCCCACAGGGATTCAGAAGGTATTCACCCCCTCCTCTTGATTTACAAGAGGTATTCCTTTAAATTCCTTGGGTCTGGACAATCCCAAGGGCAAATACAGGCTGAGTAGAGATTGGATTGAGAGCAGCCCTGAGGAGAAGGACTTGCGGCTGCTGACGGACATGAAGCTCAACAGGCTCCGTCCATGTGCCCTGGGCTGATCCCCCAGCGTGGGCAGCAGGGCAGGGGGGGATTCTGCCCCTCTGCCCCCTCAGCTGAGACCCCCCTGCAGAGCTGCTCCAGCCCTGGGAACAACAGCACAAGGACGTGGAGCTGCTGCAGAGAGTCCAGAGGAGGCCCCGGAGCTGCTGCCAGGGCTGGAGCCCCTCTGCTCTGGAGCCAGGCTGGGAGAGCTGGGGGGGTTCCCCTGGAGAAGAGAAGGCTCCAGGGAGAGCTGAGAGCCCCTGGCAGGGCCTGAAGGGGCTCCAGGAGAGCTGGAGAGGGACTGGGGACAAGGCATGGAGGGACAGGCCAAGGGGGAATGGCTTCCCAGTGCCAGAGGGCAGGGATAGGTGGGATATTGGGAAGGAATTGTTCCCTGGGAGGGTGGGGAAGCCCTGGCACAGGGTGTCCAGAGAAGGTGTGGCTGCCCCTGGATCCCTGAAAGTGTCCAAGGTCTGGCTGGATGGGGCTTGGAGCAACCTGGGCTAGTGGAACCTGGGCATGTCTCTGCCCATGGCAGGGGGTTGGAACTGGATGATCTTTAATGTCCTTTCCAGTCCAAACCATTCCATGATTCTGTGATTTGGTTGCTCATGGCAGATGAAATCCAGTGAATCTCATTTATGGGTTTTGCATCTCTCCCCAGGATGTTCAGTTTAGCTACTTTAGGATCGGCAACCCCAAGCAAAGATCATTTCTGAGGATCTTGACCTCTGCTGGAGACAGATCCCTGCAGAAAGAGATCCCTGCAAAAGTGCTTTCCTGACTGCTTTTGTGGGATAAATGTTGCCTGGGTTCCCCTGCCCTTTCCTTCAGAATATCACAGAACATCCTGAACTGGAAGGGAACCACAAGGATCATGGGAGTCCAACACCTCAAGGGCTCCAGACTTTCATGATTCAGTGCACATGTAAAACACACTGAGGCAGCAAAAGATCCCTGGTATCTCAGGCCATGTACCAGTTTTGTCCTCCTTCCACCTTCCTGGGGGATCCCAGCTGCCTTCCCACATCCCAGGGGGTTGTGGCAACCCCAACCACTTGTCCCTGTAACCCCCTGTGGGTCTACAACTCACAGGCTTCCAGAGACTCTTGAAACATCTTCCCAATTTTTTTAACACTGATCCCTCAAGGAAGGCAGACAAGGTAATATTTTGGGGAAAAGGAGGAGATAAAATAAATGATTTTTTTTTCCTCTGAAGCCTTTTGTGTGGCTTTTAAAATGACTCCTGGAAATCTGCTGTGTCAGTCATCAAAGAAAGCAAGGAACCAGATTACACGTGCCTGGAGTCTAATCCAGCCTGGCACTCTCACAATTCCATGTTCCCCCAGTTATCCACGGAGCAGGTACAGTTCTCTCTCCCACACTGCCCAACTAACACCAGGTGGGAGCACCACCACTTGTTGGAGAGAGAAGAAAATTCAGTGCAGACACAGAGCACAGGCACTAAATTCAGCACCAGCAAGGATGGTGCCTCCTCATCCTGCTGGACCCCTGCTAAGTGCTTTGATTTTAAGGATTTCTTTAATTTATTTTTAAATAAAGATACTCTGTCTTCTCCTGCTCTCCCCCCACTTCCTCCAGCAACGGGATCCATCTGGATTAGCTCCAGGGAGATGAAAGTAGCGTTGCTGCTCTCAGAGTTATCTGTGTTCTCCACACAGGCTGAGGAGAAAAGCAAATATTCCTCGTCTCTGGTGCAGCTCGTTCAGCTCTTGGCCTGATGTCAGTGTGGAGCTGCTGAACAGAGCGGTGTTATTTCAGAGAGAGATAAGGAGACCGTGCATCCTGCATCCATCTCTGCTTGCACATGCAATTCCTTCTGCTCTATTTCATGGGCATTTGCAGAATTGCACAAAAATTTAGGCTGGAAGGTGCCTTGTCCAGCTGAGTGCTGAACACCTCCAAGGGAAGCAATGCCCCCACCTCTCTGGGTTTGTGGTCCTGCCTTTCACCATCCTCACAGTGAAAACATTGTTCCTTGTAACTCATGATGGAATTCCCCTTCCTGCAGCTCATGCCTGTTGCCTCTTGTCCTTTTGTCACACACCTCTGAGAGGAATCAGACTGTCCCTTCTCTGTAACTTTAATTAGGGGAATGAAAAGAGCCATTAGATCTTACTCAGCCTTCTCTACTCCAGGCCACACCAAGCCAGATCCTTCTGCCTCTCCTCTTACATCCAACCTGGAGAAAAGGAGGATCAAGAGGGACCTTCTGGCTCTGCAACTCCCTGACAGGAGGGGGGAGTCGGGGGCAAGTCGGGTTCTGCTCTCAGGGAACAGGAAACAAGAGGAAACGGCCTCAAGATGTGCCAGGGAAGGTTTAGATTGGAGATTAGGGGAAAATTCTTCACCAAAAAGGTGCTCAAGCCCTGGCACAGCTGCCCAGAGCAGTGGTGGAATCACCGTCCCTGGAGGGATTTAAAAGCCGTGTGGATGTGGCACTTTGGGACATGGCTCAGTGGTGGCCTTGGAAGTGCTGGGGGAATGGGTGGACTGGATGACCTCAGAGGGCTTCTCCAACCTAAACAAACCTATGAATCTGTGCCACGCGCTCCAGCCTCCTGATCACGCTCATTAGGACATTCACACGGTGGAATGCACAAGGCAAGGCCTCAACTGGCCAAGTTGTTCCTATTCAGGACAGACAGACAGACACATGAAGTGCAGACAAGTCTGGCATCGCTAGGGCAGAGAGCAAAAGGGCCTGGGCTTGTCCAGCCTCACCAAAGAGGCCTGAGAGGGACATGAACTCAGGCAGATAAACAGCCCACTCCTGGGTTACACCAGTTACTACAGCTGTTGTTCCATGGACACCTCCTATGGTCATCAAAAGGTTCTCAGAAGCCAGGATTGATTCCTTGGCCCGTTCCACCAAGTGCTCACAAGCACAGAAGGATGGCACAAGTGAAGGGATGCTGAGAATGGTGGGGAAAAGCCTTAAGAATCATGGAATCACAGAATGGTTTGGGTTTGAAGGGACCTTAAATATCATCTTATTTCCACCCCCTGCCACTGGCAGGGACACCTTCCACGATTCCAGGTTGCTCCGAGCCCCATCCAACCTGGCCTTGGACACTTCCAGGGATACAGGGGCAGCCACAGATTTTCTGGGCAACCTGTTAGAGGAGGGAAGGCTTTGCCCCAGAGACAACCACCACAGTTTTGCCTCCAGCCAAGACACAATAAAAATGCTTTGTCCTGTGTTGCATCCAGAAGGAGAAATGCAGCCTGTGACTCAACCTGCACATGCTGGAATCAGGATGTGAAAGCGTGAGCAACATTCCCATTAAGTGGAGTCTGCAATCCAACCAAGCACACTGGATTTATGTAACTTGGCTGGAAATGTGAATTTTTGCAGCTAAGAGCCTTACCTCAAGCAGCAATGGCATTCCAGCTGCAAGTCCCTTGGGCCAACCTGAGGGAGCTATTGCTGGGCTACAACTGCATCCCGAAAAGAAAACAAATTGCATTTTGGCATCCCTGGTTTTCTTTTCCCTTTGTGCCTGTGGTATGTGGAGAGAGGAGAACAGTTCTTGGTTAATTCGTGCTGGAAATCCCGATCACCCAGGTCCTGGTGGCTGTTCCTGTGCTGTCACCTGAGTCCCAAACTTGGAAGGACACTGATTTCAAACGGAGCTGACGGCGCCGAGAACCAAATCGAGCTTTAATTAACTGGCGTCTAATGGAAACACGGGAAGGGACAGGTGAAATTAAAGCAGGGCTGCAGTGACAGACTTCTTCGCTAATGACTTCTAAATTGGTTACAATTTACATTTTGAAAAGATACGGGAAACTCATTAAGGCTCCAGACAAACAGCTCCATGGGCACGAGGGGAGAGGAGGGAGAGGCTCTGAGTGAAAGACACCCAGAACAGCAGTAACCTCTGAAAATTTACCACCACTGCTGTTCATGTCCTCCCCCGGACTGACTTTGTGAAGAAAGACAGTATTTTTATCTCTGATTTTCAGCTACAAAATGCCAGGCACGGAGGACTCACCTGTTGGGGCTGGGACCACGCTCAGATGAGCCAAGTGGAGTTAGTCAAGGATGAGTTCCCTGACTAGAATCCCAGGTCTAGAACCACAGAATCCCCAAATCATTTAGGTTGGAAAAGACCTTCATGATCATCGAGTCCACCCTGTGACCAATCCCCACCTTGTCACCCAGCCCAGAGCACTGAGTGCCACGTCCAGTTGTTTCTTGAACACCTCCAGGGATGGGGACTCCAACAGGTCTTTTCTAGGGATGTGCCCATTCCCAAGAAACACTGGTTAGGAGTCACCTGGAATAATTTGTAGCCAAAAGAAATGAAGAAAACATGCAGATGAACTGCTGGAAAATCATCCACTTGCACAGATGCAGTAACAGCCATGTGGTCTGAACCTCACGTGGTGAGGGCATTACCTTGGGACAGCCCCTGCCTGAAATTAGGGACATCCAAACCCACCACCTTGTGTGGCTTCACTGCTCACTAAAGAGCCTTTGAAAGGTTTTGGGTTTGTGGTCACAGAGAGGAAAGGACTGAATTTCAGTCATAGGGATTTCCCTTCGCCACTATTTTTGTCTTTAATCCCCCGTTAGCACAGAAGCCTCGATCTCCAAATATTTCTGAAGACCTGTTCAAGGAAATCCTTAGCCTGGCTGGGTTTAATTTAGATTTAGATCTTTACTGGCATTATTTGTTCCAAATCTTCCCCCAGCTTTTAAGGTGAAAGAGGCCTCTACCTGCTCAAGTCTCACTCCCTGCATCACTCACACATCCTGCCCCTGTGGCAGAGTTGGACCAGACACTCCAACCTTGAGAGCAGAAATGAGTTGCCATGAAACACAACACAGTGGGAATCATCTCACACTGATTTCCAGCCTTCAAACCTGGAGCACTTCATTGCTCTCCAAAACTCCCTGAGAGGAGGTTGGAGCCAGGTGGGGGTCGGGCTTTTCTCCCAGTAACAAGTGACAGGATGAGATGAAGCAGCCTCAATTTGTACCAGAGGAAGTTTATATTGGATATTAGGGAAAAAAATCTTCATGGGAAGGGTTGTCAAGCCCTGGAACGGGCTGCCCAGGGTTTTCAGCAGTGACCTGGGAGTGTACAGGAGACAGAAACCCAGGGCTGTGGTTCTGCTCCTGAGGCAGAGCCCTGACAAACTGTTCCCTTTGCATAAAACCCTCAGTGACTCTGGAACAAGAAACCAACACAAGCAGGACCTCATTTTCCTCTGCCACATTTTCATCTTGTCTTCATGCATGTCTTAATTTTGCAGTTTTGTTTTCAAGAACTAGGGCTCTGCTTTGATTATGACCATCATTTGTATTTAAATTCCTCTTTTAAGGTAAATTTGAAAGTTATCTCAAGGAACAATAAACCATCTTATTTCTCTCATAACAAGTGACCTGAGTCCAGCAAGAAGGAAGCAGCAAAATCTCAACAGACCAGGGCAAGTCTCACAAGCTTCTTCAGAGGCTTTGGGGAGGAGCTGAGCTCCACTGAGGTCCTGGGTGGAGGTCACCCAACATTTGGGTTCCCATCTCGTTGCCCTGCAACTGTTAAATAAACCTGCAGCTCTTTGGCACCCTGAGTCAGACACTTCCCAGAGTCTGATCCTGCAATCCACCCAGTGCTTCCTGGAAGGTGCTTTGTCCCACTGGCACAAAGGAATAGATCCAGAAACACTCCCGTTCATTATCACACTTACAGAGTACTTGGAGGAATCCCAGAGGTCCATATCCAAGTGGGAGGGAGCTGGCAGGCAGCACTTGCATTATTTATCCCTGTAAATTCATTCTGTTACCTGAGGGTTCCATCCATGCTGCAAATCCAGGCATGCCCAGGCACTGGGAAGTACATCCATGTGAGAAAATTGTTAGAAAGCTCCCCTGTCTAAACCTGGGTGCCAACCTGCACTCTCCAAATAATTCCAAATAATTCCTAGGCAGGGTTCAGTGCACAGATCAGTCCAGGAACAACTCCCAGCGGGGAGTTTGCATCCAGCCACCCTCTCCTGGAAGGCAAGTTTACAAGTGTGGAGGAGGGTGTTTTGTGCCAGTTGGCCACAGGGCCCAGGATACACTTAGTTCCTGGATGCACTTAGTTTATTAGCAGAGACGAAGCTGAATTGCCTCTGCTTGGAGCCTCATTACCGGACATCGATCCGTGAGGCCACCGTGCACTCCCTGAATCCAACCCTCTGGGATGCACTGCCAGCTGGATGAGTTCTCCTTCTGGGACAAAGGAGTGATGATCCCTCACACAAGTGGATACGCCTCCAGCCTCGCTGGGATGTAAATTTAAGGGGATTTTAAGTGTAGATGTGGCACCTGGGGACGGGGGTTAGTGGTGGGGGAACAGTTGGACTCGGTAACCTTAGAGGGCTTTTTCAACCTTTATGATCCTGTGATTCCATAAGACTTCTATAAAATGAGGCATTTGAGAGGGTATTGTGCTATTTGACCTTTGGTCAAAATAAAGAATAAATTGAAAAGACACCTATTTTCCCCCAAATCTGCCTGCACCAGGATCGGGTGCTGCCCCCACACTGGGTGAGGAAATTGCAGAGGTCTGCACATGAATTACTGGGATTAAGGACTGACAATTACTACGACAAGGGGGAACATTTTTAAAATAAAAGAGGGTAGATTTAGATTAGATATTAGAGAGAAATTCTTCCCTGTGAGGGTGGTGAGGCCCTGGCACAGGTTGCCCAGAGAAGCTGTGGCTGCCTCTGGATCCCTGGAAATGTTCCAGGCCAGGTTGGATGGGGCTTGGAGCAACCTGAGCTAGTGGAAGGTGTCCCTGCCCATGGCAGGGGGGTGGAATGAGATGAGCTTTACGGTCCCTTCCAACCAAACCATTCCATGGTTTGATGGTCCCACCAGCAGTATTTCTAAGGCTGAGTGGGACAAGTCACGCTCCAGCAGCCGTCACTCAACTCAATCACCACCCACAGCTCCTCGCAGCCTTCACACACATTTTCCCAGTGTCCTGGTGCAAAGTCAGCCTCAAAAATCCTCCGAAATTCACAAATGGTTATTAAGGAAACCAGAGGGATTTTTTCAGATCCAAATCAGGAAAAATACAAAAAGGTTTCTGAGAAATAAACCTCAAGGGATGTCAAATGTTTCTGAAGATTCAGTGTGTAACAAAACTGACCTGAGCATCCCATACCCTGTCGTTCCTCTGGAGTTTAAGCTGTTTCTGCACGGGATATTGGTGACACCTACAGGAAAAACTCATCTGCTCCCTCTGCAGCCCAGAGAGCAGCAGGTAACATCCCACCATTAATATTATCTCCTCATTAAAGGCAGCAGGGACCGTGCAGGCAAATAAAACACTCATCACCCACACGAGTGTGTGGTGGCTGCAGGGCAGGGCCATCAGCTGGAGGGTGACAAACAGGACCTGGGAACATCCAACTTCTCCACATCTGCAAACTACAAATTACAGCAGAGTTAAACAAACTAAATAAAAAGTAGAATTTCTTTAATATTGCTTTTTTTCTGGAGGCACCTCTCAAGGTTTTGAGTAGTTACAGGACTACAGATAATTCTTACAGGATATTTCTTCAGAAGTTCAGTGTGTTCTCTAATCAGGATGAATTTTAAGGAAGTTAAATAGAAAGGATGTTGGAGCCAGGGAGGCTCTTCTCCCAGGGAACAAGGGACAGGAGGAGAGGAGACAGCCTCAATATGTACCAGGGGAGATTGGATATTGGGAAAATTCGTTCATGGAAAGGGTTGTCCATCCCTGGCACAGCTGCCCAGGGCAGTGTTGGAGTCCCCATCCCTGGAGGGATTTAAAAGCCATGTGGATGTGGCACTTGGGGACAGGGGTCAGTGGTGGCCTTGGCAGTGCTGGGGAATGGTTGGACTTGATCTTAAGAGGACTTTTCCAACCTAAATGATTCTGTGATATCCAAACACAGCCCCTTCACGAGCTACTCTGAAGAAAATTAATTCTACCCCAGCCCAAACCAGCACAGGAACTCTCATTAAAGAGCCACCATTTCTTAAACTTGCAGGCAAAGACACAGAAGAAAATCCAACACTTGTCACTCAGGTTTTATTTTTCCAAGAAACCCTGACCATTACACACAATATAAAATAACCACTGTCTGAGGAGTACCCTGGAAATAACCACCAGGAAACCTCCAGTTCATAATTGATCTAATTGTGAACCGTTGATAATTGATCTAACCATTCTCCCCATGCCTCAGAAGGTACCAGAGGACACATCCTCTGTGACACAGAGTGAGTTTGGGACCCACCTAAGAGACAGAAACAGACCCCTGGAACAAAGGGGAGCTGCCTTTAGGCCTTGGAGTGTTGGTGGGTGAGAGGCTGGACCTGCCCCAGCCCAGAAACCTCCTGGGCTGATCCCCAGTGTGGGCAGCAGGGCAGGGGGGGATTGTGCCCCTCTGCCCCCTCAGCTGAGACCCCCCTGCAGAGCTGCTCCAGCCCTGGGAACAACAGCACAAGGACGTGGAGCTGCTGGAGAGAGTCCAGAGGAGGCCCCGGAGATGCTGCCAGGGCTGGAGCCCCTCTGCTCTGGAGCCAGGCTGGGAGAGCTGGGGGGGTTCCCCTGGAGAAGAGAAGGCTCCAGGGAGAGCTGAGAGCCCCTGGCAGGGCCTGAAGGGGCTCCAGGAGAGCTGGAGAGGGACTGGGGACAAGGCATGGAGGGACAGGCCAAGGGGGAATGGCTTCCCAGTGCCAGAGGGCAGGGTTAGGTGGGATATTGGGAGGGAATTCTTGTCTGCGAGGGTGAGGAGGCCCTGGCACAGGTTGCCCAGAGAAGCTGTGGCTGCCCCTGGATCCCTGAAAGTGTCCAAGGCCAGGTTGGATGGGTCTTGGAAAAACCTAAGTGGAAAGTGTCCCTGCCCATGGCAGGGGGTGGAACTGGATGGTCTTTAATGTCCCTTCCAACCCAAACCATTCCATGATTCTATGACTGACATCCAAAATAAGATTTGAAAGTATTATTATTAAAATAAAACATTGCAATAAAACATTCAGGCTGTAGATCAGTTCCTTTTTGAGAACTTCCCCCCATGTCCCTGGTTCTACTTTGCTAAAATTTAGCAAATCTCTCAATAAAAGCTGTTTTTCCTGTGACAGACAGATCTGAATTCATCTTTAGTTCATGACACGAGCAGAAGCAGCTGTGGAGTCCCCAGCTATGACTAATTAGCTACAGCACTGCTTTAGATGTCCCATAGCCTCTAATTTGCATTTTCAACTTATTAAAACACTCCCCCCACGAAGAGTGGTTCAAATGGCCACATTAAAGGCACTTCTGAAGCAAGAAAGGGTTTGATAACCCAGAACTTCACAACCACAAAGCAAGTGAAATGGGATAAAACCCACAATCCTTCCCTCTTCACTCACAGGGCTGGGGCAGAGCCTGAAAAATGGTTTCTGATCTAACAGTGACCATCCAAAGGGGGGAAGTTTGTTCTCCATCTCCAGCCCCAAGTTCCTGCATCTTTTTGTGCTGAGACTCGTCCTGATCTAAAAAAACAAATCCAGAAAGAAATAAGGAAAAAAAAAAAAAGACTGAATTAGTTGCCTGCTCTGGCCTGTTGCTGCCAACACAAGGGAGAGGCAGGAGGCAAACCCTCCCTTTGGCTGGACACCAAGGTTAGATCAGCTTGAAACACGACCCATCTATAGCCAAAGCCCTCCCACCTGTACTGGCTCTGCACACGTCAATGTAAACCTGATTCTTAAACAAATAACAGAATTATTTAGCTTGGAAATGAGCACTGAGATCAGCAAGTCCAACCTATGACTGAACAGCATCTTTTAAACTAGACCAGAGCACTGAGTGCCACATCCAGTCCTTCCTTGGACACCTCTGGGGATGGGGATCCACCACCTCCCTGGGCAGCCCATTCCAAGGCCTGACCACCCTTTCCATGAGGAAATTCCTACCAATGTCCCACCTGACCCTCCCCTGGCACAACTTGAGGTCGTTCCCTCTCCTCCTGTCCCTTGTTCCCTGGGAGCAGAGCCCGACCCCCCCCAAGCTCCCCCCTCCTGTCAGGGAGTTGCAGAGCCAGAAGGTCCCCCCTGAGCCTCCTTTTCTCCAGGCTGAGCCCCCCCAAGCTCCTCTGGGCAGCCTGGTTTCCTACACTTGTACCAAATTAAGCCAGATCACTACATCAGACAGCTGCCTTTGGGCCAGCTCATTCTCAGCCTCTCCAATTTTGTCACGGGCACGTTTGCTTTGGTCCAGGCCAGCTCAGGACATCACTCCTGGCACGGCTCCGTCTTCATCCCATTCCCACACACAAGAGACCGAAAGGCGACAGAGATCACTCAGAGGTGTAACTTAAGCTTCACCATTACCAGGGACATCCTGACAGCTCTGAGGGCTCGGTGCGGGGTGACGGCTGAGGATCTCCTCAGCCTCACCAGCCGCCCGCAGCCGCCGTGCCGGGCGGCCAGGCCCACGGACGGCGTGCTCAGGGGCGGTTTTGCCTCATAGTTTTTAATTCCCGCTCCATTTCCCGCTTTAACTCCTCCTTTAACTCCTCGTTCCCCTCCTTCCCTCAGCGCCCGCCTAAGGACCCCTCCAGCGGGCTGCCCGCGCCGCGCCTGTCAGCCTCCAGAGTGCCCGCCGCGCCCCGCCGCCGCAGGCACCCCGCAGGGCAGCCCGCGCCGCGGGGACCTTGCGGCGGGGAAGGGGCCGGGCTGTACCAAGGGTGCCGTGGGCGGAGTCGGGGCTGCGCCATGGACGCCGCGCTGCTCGCCGCCGCCGCCGTGCTGCTCGCCGTCCTCCTCTTCTTCGCCACCCGTCTCCGCGGGCAAGCCAGGGCAGGTGGGTTACGGCGCAGCGCGGACCGGACGGGCCGCTCCCCACGCCGCCCCCCCCCCGGGACCGTTCCGGTGGGCGCGGCCCTGCTCTCAACTGGGTCCGGCGCGGTGCCGCGGGAGCCGCCAGGGGGCGCCACGTCCCGGGGGCTCCCCCTGAGGGGGACCCGCCATGTTGGGGGGTTCTGGGGGGTCCCGGTGGGCTTAGGGGGTCCTGAGGTGTTTTGGGGCGTCCCAGGGGGGTGTCCTTGTGGTCCTGCTCTGCCTTCCGCCCGCAGGAGCCCCAGGTGGCTCCAAGGCCTGGTGGTCCTGCCGCAGGGGGCCGGGGGTTCCCGGCCTGAGGCAGCCCCAGGGTGAGGGGCGTGGGTTGGAAGTGTGTGAGGGGCTCTATGAGGGGTTCTGTCAGGGATTTTTTCCAGGTTCTCACTCCAGGGCTGGGAAGGTGCCCCCAAAGCTCCTCCTGCAAACGGGGAGGGAAATGGAGAACAGAACCTAGAGGGCCGTGATCAGCGTCCAGTTGGAGGCCTGTCACTTTTGGCGACCCCCAGGGTTCTGTCCTGGGCTCACTGTTGTTTAACTTGTCCATCAATGACTCGCATGAGGGTTCGTTGCCTCCTCAGCGAGTTCTCTGATGAGACAAAACTGGGGAATGGCCAATACCTCTGAGGGTTTTGTGGCCCTTCAGGGGGACCTCGACAGGCCGGAGGGATGGGCAGGGAGGAACCTTCTGAAATTCAGCGAGGGCAAATGCAGGTCCTGCACCTGGGGAGGAACAACCCCTATCACCAGCACAGGCTGGGGGTGACCTGCTGGGGAGCAGCTCTAGGAGAAGGACCTGGGGGACAACGAGCTGTTCCTGAGCCAGGAGTGTGTCCTTGTGCCAAGGAGGCCAATGGGATCATGGGGTGCATTGGGAAGAGCATTCCCAGCAGGTCAGGGAGGGGATCCTGCCCCACTGCTCAGCCCTGTGAGGCTCATCTGCAGGGCTGGGTCCAGCTCTGGCTCCTCAGCACAGCAGGGACGTGGAGCTCATGGAGCGGGTCCAGAGGGGGCTGTGAGGGTCATGAAGGAACTGGAGCAGCTCTGGGAGCAAGAAAGGCTGGGGGAGCTGGGGCTGTTCAGCCTCCAGAGGAGACACTGAGAGGGGACCTCCCCCATGTCTGTAGGGTCTGCAGGGAGGGGGCAGAGGATGGACCAGGCTCTGCTTGGGGGGGGCCCAGCAATGGCACAAGAGGAAGGGGCAGGAACTGATGCCCAGGAAGTTCCACCTGGACATGAGGATTGTCCAGAGAGGGTGTGGAGTCTCCTCACTGGAGATATTCCAGAACTGTGTGGACACAATCCTGTGCCATGTGCTCTGGGATGGCCCTGCTGGAGCAGGGAGGTGGGGCCAGATGGACCCACTGTGGACCCTCCCAACCTGACCCATCCTGGGATTGTCCCCCCCAGGCTTCTGCTGCAGCTGGGGAGGGAATGGGCTGTGAGGTAACAGGCAGGACTGCCCCCTTGGTGCTCCCTGGCAGCTCCTGGGTTAATGTTCCTGTCAGACAGGAAGGTGGGCAGGTCCCTTTCCCTCTTCTGTTCCTTTTGGCCACTTCAGGTGTGTTTTGGGAGCTGGTGGATGATGAAGCACTTCCAGCCCTCCCTCAAACAGCCACTGTGCCACTGCCGACCAGTGTTAGATCACAGAATCCTTTAAGTTTCTGAAAGGAAAAGACCTTTAAAATCCTCCAGTCCAACCATAAAAAACTCTGCCAGTTCCACTGTGATGGAAGGACCTTTTGTGGGTGGGAGTTGAATGTTATGGGAAGAAGTCAGATGTGGCCACGGACTTATCAGGCTTGTGTTTCCACAGTGGGAGCAGGGAGGTTGTTTGGCTGCCAGGTCTCAAATTAAGATGTTTAGCCAGGACAAACACTGAATTCCAGTATCACCACAGGTTTTGCAGATATGGGGTGGTTTGGGGTTGGAGTTTGTGGTATTTTTCTTTTGGGGGAATAGCTTTGATCATTTTTAATTAAGAGGAAAAAAACCCCCACACCTCCAGTATAAAAAGAGTTATTCAGTGCAAGACTGTGCTGGTAAAGACTCTGTGTTAAAAGCAGTTTTGGCTGATAGTAATAAAATGAAATACATAAAAAAATAAATGAAATTAAAATTAAATTAATTAAATAATAATTAAGTTTTCCAACACGTTTTCCCTCACACCTCTGCTTATATAGACCTGGTCTAAATCTTTCTCTTGGAAAGATTTGGAAACGGATGGAATTTCATCGTATTCCTGATGGCTTAGAGCTGAGCTTTTGGTAAAAGTGAGGGACATCATTTCCTGAGCTGGACTTAGATAAATCAAGGTCTGTGGGGCTTGGGAGGGTTGATTTTCTTTTTAAGCTTTCAGAGTCCTAAACTGAAGCCCAAACATTTTTTTTAAATACTGTGAATTATTAAAAAAAAAACTTTAATACTGATTTTGAGCAACTTGGTTAAAGTTAGTTTACATTCAGGATAATTTAATTCTTTCAAAGCTTCTTTTTCAGAGTTAACTTTTTGACACTTCCACATTGGTCTTGCCATTTTTAATTGTGGTTTTAAGGTAATTTCTCCCTTAATATCCTGGTTTCTGTCATGATAAAATCCTTCACAGAATTTAATCTGGTGGGGATGACTTTGTGCACAACAGAAATTATTTTTTCAAACCTGCTGGGGCTGTGGGGTGTTTAATATCCGCCAAATTTAGTCTTAAGCAGGAATTTGCTTTCCTGTTCCTTTTTCTTACGTGGAAAATGGAAGTAAATCTGCCAGGAAATCTACGTTGCCACATGGAAAGGACTTGGAAACCAGAGACATTTGACTTGGAAAAGTGGTGGGAGCTCTCACCTTTCCCTGTTAATGTCCAGGGATTGTGGCAGCAGCTTCACTTTATGTTCTGTCATGGAAATTGCCTTTCTAAAATGTCCAGGGCTTGCGTTCTTTAGGGAGTTAAGGATCACAAGAGGTAAATCCTGTGCCTTTGTATTTGCTTTGAGAGGTCATTTGGAGCAGCAGAGTGTTCCCAGCAGGATCGTGCCTGGACTTGTTCTGCCGAGAACAGCAAAAAACCCAAGTAGCATTTCTGGCTTTTTTACATCCGTTTGTGATGAGCTGCAGGAGGACGAAGCCCCTCTGCAGGGAAGCCAAGCACACTTCCACCTGGGGCATCTGGGGTCGCTTCCTGGTTGGATTTCCCAGGTTTTGGATGAAGGCAGAAGGTTCAGGGTGGTGCCACCGTGGTGGGAAGTGCCACCAGCTTGCGAGGCAGCAGCAGGTGGAGCTCTGCCCGTGCCAGCCCAGGTGACACCCTGCTGCACTTGCTGATCTGATAGAGCTGAAGATAAGCTGCTGTGATAAGCAAGGGGTTGCTTCTCAAAAAAAATATTTATGCTCTGAGCCAGTGGAAGTTTGCAAAATTTTGTGAAGGGGCAGATTTCCACCCAGGGGGTGGAAATTCAGGTCCTAAAACGCCTGGGCTCTGAAAGATTTCACTTTGCAGTGATGGGGCTGGTGCTTCATGCCCAGTTTAGGAAAGATTTCTGCTTTCAGGGCACAGTTCTGCTCACTCTCCCCGAGGAAGGGGACACAGCCAGTGCCACAGTTGCTGTGCACTGGCTGAAAAGTCAGATGAAATCATCTCTGCACTGTGCTGATGCTTCTTGAACACTGAGGCAGAGCTGCAGTGCCCAGCAAGGATGTGTTCCCTGGGCTTTGGAGGGCTGGGTCAGACACTGCAGAACACACAGCTGAAGATACACACTGAACACATGTCCGTTTTCCAGACATCTGTTGAAGCTTTGTTTGTATTGCCTGTTAATTTGAGGGGTTTATCTAATTAATTTAGCCTGGCCTGCTGTTCTGCAAAGCCTGGAGATCCCTTGTCTCACCTCTGTGGTGCTGGTCATTAATTCTCACTCGGATGGCTCTGTATCAAGTCTAATTAGTCCTTGTGTGACTAATCTCTGCATGATTTGGTTTATCCTGGGGTGCCACTTCTGAGGCCTCTGCAGCTCCAGGGGAGTGAAGAGATGTGTTCAGGGAAGTGCAGCTGCCAAACCCCGCCCTGTGCTGCAGGGGGAGGGGAAAAAAACCAGCAGGGACTGACCCCAGAGAGAATTATTATCAAAGCAAAGTGATTTTCAGGTGTATCCTCTGTGTTCTGTGAAGCCTCCAGTGCCCCCCCATCACTGACACAGTCCAGAGGGAGACAGAGCACAGCTTGACTTTCTGGATGTCACAGCAAATGCTGTGTCTGGAGTCACGTAGACAAACCTCTGACCCCTGAAGAACCAGGTGCAGGTGTGTTGCAGCAGAGTAAATGAGGATTTTCTTCTCCTGTGAAGGTTTGGAAGAATTGCAGTGACTGACATTCATGTTTTTGAAAGGACTGCCCAGCTGAAGGCCTGGCAAAGAGAAGCTGTGGAATCCTAGAACCAAAAAGGTTGGAAAATACCTCTGAGATCATCGAGTCCAACCATTCCCCCAGGACTGCCAAGGCCACCACTATGTCCTCAAGTCCACATCCACATGGCTTTGAAATCCCTCCAGGGGTGGGGACTCCAACACTGCCCTGGGCAGCTGTGCCAGGGCTGGGCAATCTTTTAAGTGACGAAATCTTCCCTAATATCCAACCTAAATCTCCCCTGGCACAACTT